ATGGCGTTTTGAGCACGTCACCGGGCTCATTGATGCACCGATCACTTCATTAGTATATAGTGATGGACAAGATAAGTTATGGATAGGACAAGAGACTGGTATTACTCTTCTTTCACCGATTATCATGTCGACAGGACGTATTCATTGGTTTTTTTCTAGATTGGCAGGACAAATCTCCAATCCTGGATCAGACATTGGTCATTTACCATTTGCTAATATTACTACTTTGAGTGTGAGCCATTCGACATTACCTGACAGTCGAGTTTGGTTAGGTACTATTCGTGGAATGATGCGTTTTCATCCAAACGATACTGATATAAACGCTTGGCGTGTATTTAATAGTGCCCGATATATGCCTAATCGCGATTCATTGGTCAATGTAGTTTCATTGGCTGTACTGAGTCGTGAAAGTAAGGCACCTACCGCTCTGGGCAGTACTGCAGTAGCAGTCACCAGTAAAGGCTTAGCTGTTCTTCACTTTGAGATGTGGACGTTGGCGCAAAAAGCAAAGTATTTTCAAGAATTCTTTAACCAAACAGGAAGACATGACAAATATAATTTGGTATCGGGTTGTGGTATGTCATCATGGGGAGATAGTCGTACTTGTGTCAAAGGACCAGATGACAATGATGGTCTTTGGACTTCAATGTATTTAAGTAGTCAAATCTTTCGCTATAGAGTAACACAAGATGCAACAGTCAAAGCATCTGCTTGGACTCATTTTGAAGCATTAGAACTTCTTAATAAAGTTACAGGCATTTCTGGTTATCCTGCTCGTTCATTTGCGAAACGCACTGATTTTCCTCCTGGTCCTAATTGGTATTTATCTCCTGTTTATCCAACTCTTCAATTCAAAGATGATACCTCATCTGATGAGATTGTTGGACATGAATTTGTTTATCCATTAGTACATGATTTGTTGGTTAGTAATGAGGATGAACGCCAAAGAGCTTACACATTGCTCTTCAATATCACTAATTATATTTTAACTCATGACTGGTATTTGGTAGGCCTGAATTACACTCATAGGGGTGTCTGGAATCCAATAGATATAAATAATGGTAGTGACCATATAGACGAGCGGGGCCTTGGTAGTCTCGAAATATTGGCTTTTTTACTTCAAACTTATGCTTACAGTGGTGATGAACGTTTTCTTAATGGTGCTAACCTACTTATTGAATCGTATCAATATGATGTTAATCTCATTAATCAAAGAATGATTGCAGTTTGCCAGGTTAAATTTTGGGATGATGAGCTAGCTTATTTGTCCTATTTTAATTTAGTCTATGCAATCAACACATTTACTTCCATGCCTACTTTATCTACAACACAGAAGGAACGTACACAATTAGTTATCGATAAACTATTGGAATATATGAAGGTTGGATTAGATCTAGCGCATAAATACAAACAAATGGAGAAATCACCATTCTATAACTTCATCTATTGTTATGTTAGTGGCCAGGTTAATCAAACTCGACATCTATTCAATAAAAGTCGTGGATCTTCTCCTGAATTCGACTGCAATTCATTGTCAAAGGATGGGATATGGTATATGCAACGTTGGCCATTGGAACTTATTAACTGGCCACAATTCAATAGTGACCGATTGGATATCCAACTTAACGTACCTGCTGAATGTGATTGGGGAAGAGCACTCCGCTCGTTAAAAATGTTACCTCCTGACGAACGAACCATTAGTATATGGAACTATAACGTCTACGACTTGGATGGTGGTGACGGATTTTTGGAAACAGATCCAACTGCTTTCTTAATAAGTTATTGGGGAATGCGTTATTTTAATTTGCTAGGAGAATGATAATTTTCTAGTGTGTATCATTGCTGACACTATTGATTGTGACTAATTTACATCAATCTTTTGTTTGAAATCGCTTTTTAAAAATTGATTGCTAATGATTCATCGATATAAAATACATAATTTAATTGATAATCTGCGCTGATAGTGTGAAACAACATAAAGGTCTTTAGAGATGGTCCATGAGATTATCGAATATTGACAAGCGGGGTCATACTCTCAAAAATTTTGACCTCTATATTTTTTGATTTCAAATGAAATAGCATCATCGAAAACTTCTACATGCGAATTTTAAACTTATTGTAGCTTGCCTCTGAAAATTTATGAAACAAACACTGACAAAGGCAACAATGGACTTTTTGAAAAAAAATTATTTCTGTTTAATTCGATTTATTCGTATTTGATAATTTTTTCTACGGTAAGTAATCCATCAGAATTGATTCGAGCTATAGAAAAAAAAATCTGAGCTTCTTTTGCACGCAAAACTTAGATGTACAATCGGTTATGTAAGTCAAAGGTTGGTATTTCATCTTAAATATAGTACTGTTGAAATCAAAAAAGCACACTGCACTCTCTTGTCTTTACGAATGAAATTTTTATATTCTTTCAATAAACTATGTGATAGTTAAAGAATTCGAAAAAAAAGGTCATATTAACCTTGAAAGTTTAAAAAAAATATACTACTCTGATCAAAATTTATAAAAGTTATGCGAAGCTCAGCTTTGCTAGGACTGAAATAAGGGTGAGGGTGTGAGTTTCAAATGAAAGAATAATTCCAAGCATCATACGACAAATCAAATAAAAATAAATCGATCTATATTTCTCAGATACAAATCAATTTGCTACTCTCAACTTTTGCTTTTCAGCAACCGACTAAGTCGTAGTTAATTATTGTTTAAATTTATGTTTTGTGCTTGAATATAAATCAATAAGATAATGCAGAGCTAATTTCGCCGACGCGTTTCGTGTTTATTTATTTAAAAATTCGAAACACTCTTCAGGGCTCTGCATTACAAAAACATAAACAATCACATAAAAGAAAAATGATGATAATAAAAAAACAAAAGCAAAATAAAAGCGAATTGCACTCAACAATATTTAAAAAATTAATGAATATAAGGAGAAAATTAATATATATAAATGAAACGAAACAAATAAATTTGTTAAAGTTGGAAACAACAACATTTATAATATTATCTAAGAATGGATCATTTATTTGAAAATTAAATAACAAATAAGTACACTTGAATAGTATATTTTTTCAGTAAAAATTATATAGCACAACCACTTGGTGCTACATCAGTCAGATTTAGTCTCTTGCTCTTCAAGGACCAATAAAATCTATTGTTCAACAACTTGTAGGTGAATAAATTGTCAAAAATATTTTTGATGAGCGTCCAGCAATAATTTTTGCAGGACTACAGATAACTGCAATATCACCACCTAACATATTAATTAAGTTAGGTATAATTAACATTGTTGAACAATAAATGTTAAAGAAATCAAGTCTCATTAAGGGTGTGGGTGTGGGTGTGGGCCATTTCATACTGCACTCACAACCACACCCACCCACACCCACCCACACACCCACACCTATAATCAATACAAGAAACATCATTCAATCTTTTTATTAGTATCAGTAGGAAACAGTATCATTATGGATGAATTCATTGAGATGTTTAAAAATATTATAAAAATGGCCAATGCATGCTAAGTGCATTACGGTAAGACTCGTATTTATGAAATAGTTGATGATAAAAAAATTTCATATAAAAAAACAAAAAGAATGATTATTATCGAGTATATAGCAACATTAATAAAAAAAATCGGGTGCACTAAAACGAAAAAGATAGGCACAGTTTGAAATGTACAAATAAATAATAAAATGTTGTTAATGTCAGTGATTAGTTATAAGAATCATTTTAAACAACAGAAATCTTTCAGTTTACAGATGACATATTATGATAGCAAATCTAAAGGATATACGTAAGTTTCACATTTCAGCTCCAAAGAAGCTGCGATGACAAGCTTTTTATATATTCGATAATGATTTTTAAGTTTTAAACTTGAAATAGCCCTGCATTAGTTATGTCATATTGTATCAACGAAATGTTATGCTTCTTCGTGTAAAACACAATACTGTCCTAATCCATAATTTCTATCGCTCAATCTTCCACATGATGTAATTTGCTTTAGTATGTTCGAATACAATGACGTTTTGCCATTGCAAACATCCACTGTTTTTTTCTTCCTCTTCGAAAACGTGTGTTCTGTATGTATATGAGGACCTCTGCATGCCAACAATACTTATGTTTGACTCATCGTTTACTTTTACCAATACGCGATTTGAATCATGTGGAAGCAGATTGTTTTTTTTTCTTTGCAATTATTTTTATTCAGACTATTTTCTTTGTATGCTTAAGTTAAACTCATATATAAAAAAATAGTCTTGTCATCAGCTGGTGTTTTCCAAGATGACATCTACCAACGATGTTGGACTTGCATCTGAACGTATTCAGAATGCAACAGAAGTCGATTTAAATGAAGTTACTTGTTCAACTATATGTGAGAATATATTATGGAAACCGCTCTCATGTCAACAGTGTGAAACTCATTTCTGTTCGATGTGTATTCGACAGTGGTTAGATAAACATCCCAATGAATGTCCCATGAGATGTACTTCATTTATTGAACGACCATGCTCCAAATTTATTGCTAGACAGTTAGCAAAATTAAAAGTTGTTTGCATTTATCGAACGTATGGTTGCCAGGAGGTTTGTTGAACTACAGTTCACTCACTTTCTGTATTATTAAAGGACACTGTTCTTATCCCATATTTATTTTAGGTTATTCCATACGAAGCACTTGAAAAACATGAGATAACATGTGGAAATCAACTTGTAACATGTATTCGCTGTCAGTTAGACGTACCCCGAAAAAATCTCGCACAGCATCAACCAGTATGTCAACAGACCACGGCTATGTCTTTAGATCGAAATATGGTGCATGTAACATGTCAAAATGATTCCAAGAAATCAAATTCTGAGATAGCTGCTTTGAAAGCAGAAGTGCAACTACTTCGCCAAGCACTAAGTAAGAATATATTAAAATTGACAATCTCAAAAGTTTTGCTTCTTCTTGAGACGGTCATATGGAATTATTAGTGGCTCGTGACATCCTCGCTGATAATAATGTAAGTTCTTCTATTGCATTACGGAGTCAATGATTTGTTGTTTCTTGATCAACAGAAAATCAAACGAGCTGAACTTAAATCTACGATTCAACTGGATGTTCTTCTTCGAAATCGGGTCGTTCTCGATTCAGCCTCGCCATTTGCTGATAACGTTATCTGTTCTGTATGTGGAAACGTTTTTTGGAAACCTGTTTCTTGTAAAAATTGTAGTACTGTTTTCTGCATGAAATGTCGCCCTACGGGTGGTATTCTGGGTAAAATCTCATCGTTTTTTAAAATCCAACAGAAATTTCATGGAAAAAATGGATGTGAAGATTTTGAAGAAACACAAATATCTTCTCAAGTCATCCATGAACTAGCCAAACTACGCGTTCGTTGTGCGTATGCTTCTAATGGATGTCGCGTACTTCTGTTCTATTATGAACTTGAACAACATGAAAGAGTATGTGAATTCGAAAGTATTCCATGTGAATTATGTCAATATCCTTTATCAAAACGGTCACCAATGGCCGAGCATACACGACGAGCATGTTTCGAATACATGCGTAATAAAAATCCGTCAGGAATTCAACAGCAACTTATGATACTTTACAATGCTTTCGAAGAATCACAAGCCGAAAATCGTCGCCTTCAATTGACTATCACTCAAATGCAAAAGGAATTCAGAGACTTGAATGCAGCATGTGTTAGGAAGGACAGTAAAACAAGTAAAAAATGATTGTATTATCATATAAAGAAATAAATGACCCGTACTCGCGAATAATATTCAGCATGTTTCATGACATAGAATATTTGTCTCATTATGGTTCTATATAGTGGTTGCGGACAGCATTGTAAATTATCTTCTCCTTGGTCTTAATTGCCAAGCAAGAGAAAGAAACTAAAACATTGGGTTGGTACGAAATTTTTATCGTTCTTTTTTGAATTATTGTCTCTTTTTTTTTTAATATCAAGAATACAACTAGCTTTCAACAATGTATGCTCCATTACTATCTATGACTTGTCGCCAACGCTCTGGTAGAGAAAGGATCCCGCGCTTATAGAAGTCCTGCGACTTTTCTCCAAAAAAGTTGAGGAGGTCCATTTTCAAGTCGTTTTCGTCGTCAAACTTTTCTCCGTCAAATGGTTAGAAAGAGAGCGGAACAAATGATAGTCCGTAGGAGCCAAGTCTGGAAAATAAGATGGATGTGAATCCGTAACTCATCCGAGCTCCAATAATTTTTCACGTGTCGATCTTGCAATAAAGGGTCTGGCATTATCATGCAAAAACGAAATTCTATCCTGCTTCCCCTGAAGCTTTGCCGCAACTCGGCCTAATTGCTGGCAACAGAGATCAGCAGTGATAGTGCAATTAGTTGGAAGAAGTTCTCGATGAATAATCCCTCTTACTCCCCACCAAATGCTCAGCATAATCTTCTTTGGGTTAAAGTCATCTTTGGGTGTTCCTACACCTTTTTGTCCACCTCCCAGCCACTGCAGCTTGCGCGTGTGGTTAACATACAACACCCACTTTTCATCGCCGGTAATAAAAGTGTAAAGTCATTGGTAGTTGCGATGAGATGTCATTAATGCCATACAAGCATCAACCCTATGTTGGAGCTGATGTGGTGACAAACCATGTGGTATCCAAACTCCAGATTTCCACGTTTTGCCCAATTCGTGCAGATGTGTCTCCACTGTAATATGAGAGTACTCAAGACGTTCTGCTAAAACACCGTTTAGTCAATCTAGGATCTTCTTTGATAAGCTCCTTTAAGAGATTCATATTCACCTCTAGTGGTCTTCCAATATGAGGTAAATCATCGAGTTCAAAGTTACCGTTCTTGAACTGATTGAACCAACGTTACTCTGTACGAATGGAGAGCGCATCCTTGCCCATCGTATTGCATATGTTGCTTGTTGCTTCTGTTGTTTTGTGACCCAGACGGAATTCATGAAGCAGAAGCACTCAGAGCTCTCTATGAGATATCTTCATTTCTAATTCGAGATCAGCATGTTTATCCATAGTTTTATTGTTGTTCGAAAGATATTTACACTCCTTTTATATACTCTTAGTATGAAAACTTTTAGAACTTTCTTGACTGTTCTAGGAGGTTACAAAAAAAACGACAAAAATTTCTTATCAATCCAAAATAAAACAATGGATTTCTTTTTAAATTTTCTTCATAAACTATGGCTTTTCTTAAGAAAGTAAAAACTGAACTATATTAATAAGAAAAAAGAATTTTCTCTATGTAAAAAAAAAAGAAAAGAAAAAACAGGATTCAGAAATGATGAGCAAGCCTTTCTAATTGTTGTAGACAACCAAAGATATAGTGGATAATAAAGTCTTATTATTGATAATGAAAATGCACTCATTTTTTGCGTTACTAACGAGATGACTTTCTATTCATTGTATTAAATAAAATTTAACATATAAGCCTCCCGCGAACAAAAAAAACAAAATATACGACAAGATACAGCGTGAAAATCTCTACAATTTACAACGATCAGCTTATTTTATAGTTGCAGTTTTCATTTTCAAAGTAACCTAAATTCTGTGCGGCTAATGACAACAAAAAACAAAATTCTTTTCTTTTCGAAAAGTCAAAAACTAGTGGCCTAGAATTTTGATCATTTTGAAAACGAAAAATGCAACTATAAAGGAAGTTGTCTTTTTTAGATTGTAGTACTTTTCACACTGCATATTGTGGTGTATTTTGCTTTTTTTTAATACAGTGTATTATGTAATGAAGAAATGAAATGCAAAAAGACAGTTTTTATTGCCTGCGAACGGATGAAAGATGTAAAAAAAAAGGGTTTGTATTTCTAAATTAATATATTGTCTATAACAATTCATATATAGATAAATGTCAATTTATATAAAGAATGTTTCACAACAACTAATAATAAATAGCAAACAACATTTTACGGTACAGTGCCGCTCAAAAGCCTGGCAGCATGCTTTCATTTTAAGTCTTGCGTTAAAACTATGCAAAATTGTTTTTTCTTTTGTTTATATACGTGGATAGTCAGTCGTGCTCCTGAGCGTATTTTACGAGAAACGAACTGCTGAAATGTGGGACATTTCTTATCTGTAGAACTAAAACTAGATGTGTATGTAAACATTGATTTGACTAGTATAACGAATGAAAGGATCTCTAGAAAGTAGAATGAAGTAGGAAAAGTAAGGAAGAAAAATGTTTTTATTTCTTTCTCTAACTACTCATAAATTGACACGTACTGAAGATATGACTTGTTGAAAATAAATTATGCAGTAGACATCTCCAAAACTACGTGAAGTACCTAGTATGCTGCCATGAAAAACAATTTTCAATTGCATGGAAATTCAATTGAAGACAATTGATCTTAGTCTAAAAAAAGTAATTACTGAAAGTTGTGTAAGTGACTTCTTTAGATCAGATTGAGAAATTTAAAAGATTTTTTTTAAAATAAATTATACGTGAAAATTCATTATTAGAAAATAATTAGGAAAATAGTTCTCACATACATTTAGTGCGGCCTATCTTGCGAAATGATTTGGAGATATAATGTTTGACTACATCAAAAAGATTCGAAAAACCTCTCAAAAGTAGACACTTTCATAGAATGCTGTAAGTGTCCACTATAGCGAGGTTCTAGTGTATATATGAGTGGATTACAACTTTTTGGTACGATTGACGAAAAAAAATAAAACTAAACCTAGGGTGTGGGTGTAAGTGTGGGCATGGGTGTGGCTAGGGTGTGGGTGTGGGTGTAGTTATTCTCTTAACCGACACTAATCCATACCCCTCACCCACATCCTAGCCACACCCACACCGACACCCACCCACCCTAAAAATTATTCAGAGAAAATGAGTTTCTATCATATGTATTTGTATAAATCTAACAATTCAGAGAGATTGCATTCCAAATACTGGCGAGCCTAGTCACATCGATGAACTAATCAGACTTCACATTAAATTCAAACAGAAATTAATATGATCATATGGTCAATCTTCAAAATCATTCGTTCAACGACATCGTATTTCTAAATCTTGTGGCAATTCTCTTTAATTTGCCCAGCACTAAACTTGATCTAAAATATGTAACAAAAATATATTTGTTCTTTTCACCTAATGTCTAAAATCCATCAAATAATCAAAAAGAAATTATTCGAAACAAGTTAAATAAGATATTTAAGTAGATCATACACAAAAATCATATTTCAATATTATCAATGTTGGAAAATTTTTTTTAATGTTACTATTATTTCTTCCGTTTCATCGATAAAAACAAACGACGTTTTTTTCATCTATGCCTATCATATAAAATAAAAAAAACTGTCTTTTCTGATTTAAAAAATGTTAACAGCTGAAGATGTATTTCACATTACCACTTCTACTCTCTTGTGTATTACAGAAAATCACTACTATATAGGGTTTGGTTGGGTGTGAGTGTGGGTGTGGGGTGTGGGATGTGGGATGTGACTGTGAGTGTGAGTGTGGGTGTTCTCTTTCACCTAACCCACACTCCGCATCCCTAAGTTGAAAATAACATCAGTTATTATTACATCAAGTCCTTTTGCATCATGAGTCTTTATTATCTTATAAAAATCAAGACAAATTAAAGATATAATAATGTACACGAAGGGTTCCAAAAGCTGCACACACAAAAAAAAAAGAATTTTATTAAATAAGGTTCTCTACATTTCTCAAAACGTTAATGCTATGCTATAGACAATGGAAAGTGAAACAATGGTCTTCGAAAGCCACCTATTAGAACGACAACAAAACATCCAAAATTTTATCTTATTTTTCTTTTCTCATTCTTACAGTGCTTGACGTAGATGTCTTGTGTCAATATTGAAATAAGGTAAAAACAATCGAATTAACATGCTTCGTGCAACTAAAACTATCATCATTGTAGCAATATCGTTATATCTGTTCTCTCTCATTATTTTCTTCCCCGTTATTCATATCTTCTTCTTCTGTTCTACTTGCACTTTCCTTTCTTTCTCTTCTGACTGTGTATATCAATGTGTGCTTTTTATGTAAATGATGCGATACTTGATAAGCAGAAATATAATAAAGCGCATTTTCATCAGCACTACCACTTCTTCTATCCAAAAATCGTCACCTTTGGCGACTCTGGCTACCGACATTCTTCTGTCTTGTGGTCGAAGTCTAGACTGTTCAGGAGCAAGTATGTTCGTAATGTAAAGTTGATGGAAATGATTTTCGAACGATAATATTGCTGAGGTGAACAGTAGTATTATCGAATATCAGCGAATGTATCAAAGGGCGGTTGGAGACAAAGCCGACTATACGTAGTCCCAACATCCTGTCCTAGAAACATCTATATGTAAAACGCTGTGTCGTTTCAAGTCATTCTATCATTCGATATATCGTTCATGTTTCTGACTGAATCAATTCAAACAATGATTCAATGGATGTAATATTGTCGTAACTAATATCGGATTTTTTTTAAAATGCCACCTACCATTTGTTGAATAACTTTCGATAGTTCCCAGCTATCGATGTCGGATTTTCGCCATTAGATGGAACAATCGGGGTAGCATCTATCTATGTAATATTCATTAAGTTCCAGGAAGCTTTGCAAGGATATTTGCAGATGAACATTTTTTCTATTGCACATTTCTATAGGTTTTTGTAGTAATCTACACTCAAATTACATCGAAATGTCGTCCAGAGTAAGTCGTATTGTTCATAAAATTTCCAGATTTCAGACAACTCCTCTTAAAGTATGAGCCCAAGGATAAAGGGAAAACATTCGAACAATTATATAGGGGTTATAGCACTCTTCAGACTACCTTTTGGTGTAATTTGAGCATAGGTTGCTACGAAAATCTGTAGAAATGTGCAACAGAAAAAATGTTCACTTGCAAATATCCTTGCAAAGCTTTCTGGAACTTAATGCATATTATATAGATAGATGCTATCTACATTACTCTATCTAATGGTGAAAACCCGACGTCGACAGCTAGGAACTATCGAAAGTTATTCAACAAATGGTGGTTGGTATTTGAAAAAAATTCGACAATAGTCGCCTCCTCAACGGACTGAACGACGGTTTCCGGCTTATAAACATCACCGAGTCAATCTCAATTTGCGGACGTCGAGATATTGAAGAGTTGATCAAATCGTCGATTTGCCTGTGATAGGCATCTGCAAAATCAGTCCTTTTTGGTCTCGGTCCCGATCTGGGCTTGATGCCAGTTAAAAATTGTATTATGGTGAAAAAATTCCGATTTTTGAAACTGAAACGAGGATCAATGAAAATTTTTATCAGAATTGTAAAGAAAATTGCTGTTTTTTAGATTTCTGATCACAAAAATATAAGAAATACCTAAACGCAGAATCGAGTTTCTGATAAAAAATAATGCCGGGACCACCTTGAAAATTTTGGTTCCGGTCCCGCCGGGATCGGGACCGGGACCACTTTGCAGATGCCTAGTCTGTGAGCAAAATGCTTTGGAAGTGTTCCCGTTCTGTAGTCTGGTGATTTGTCTCATCAATTTTACAATATTGCCTGCACAATATACAAGAGTCAACATTCAACATCATATTTTGCTTCAACATTAGTCTCTTAATAGTATCCCAAGGTTATAAACAAACATTCTTAGCCTTAATGCCAATTGTCCGAATCAATGGCCTGAAATGTCAACGACCTATCATGTAAACATTTACACAGCAGCACAATCAAATAACAAACGCAACCATTTGACTCTTATGTGACTTTCCTTCCACAACTTTTTTCTGTTCTATGGAAGATATCCGTTCTTTGACGTACGATTTCGCGACTCGTTTTTTCTACTTGCTTCCAGACGCCCAGAAGTACGTCTGATTTCGGTCTAGAGTATAGCGATATCGTTATATCTGTTCTCTCTCATTATTTTCCTTCCTGTTATTCGTATCTTCTTCCTCTGTTCTACTTGCACTTTCCTTTCTTTCTGTTCTGGCTGCGTATATAAACGTGCGTTTTGTATGTACATGATACGATTTTTCATAAGAAGAAATATAATAAAGCGCATTTCCATCAGCGCTACCATTTCTTCTATCCAAAAATCGTCACAATCAAACAGACACCGTCACAAAAAAACAACAACGCAGCAAAAGAATACTACAAAAAATATGCAGAAACAAAAGTTCTTTTTATGATTTATTACAGATAACAAACATAAAAATGACTTATTTTTTAATTGGTGATTCAATAACATTGACATTATTGATTGTACTCATATTTATCTTTGCTTATTATGTGTGGGTAATCTACGACTCATTTATTAGTTCAAAATGGAAATTTAATGACCTGAATTTTAGTTACAATCTGCGTACAAACAATATATTTCGTCGCCTTGGAATGCCTGGTCCAGCACCTATTCCAATACTCGGTGAAATGTTTAATGTCATGCGAAAGGTATTAACTTTCATATGTTTCTTCAATGATATATTAACTTAACAGTTGCATTCATTCAGGGATTATATGCGAACGATGTCAATCTTGTTCGGAAATATGGAAAAATCATAGGGTAAGTAAATATTAATGAAACAAAGTGTGAATATGAAGTTCAACAATATCTGTACTGATTACTTGATGTTTGCTGCATTTTACTAATTTGGATAGAAGCTTTTGAAAATTTTTTTATAGAATCTTCGAAGGAACTACTCCAGCTATTCTTCTCTCAGATCCAGACCTTCTTCGAAACGTTCTAATCAAAGACTCAAATATGTTTATTAATCGACGAGTATTTTAGTAATTACCTTTCTATCAGTATTTGAACATCTCTCTGCTTTTGTAGAGCATGGAAGGTGTTACCGGTATCATGGAATATGGTCTTACAGGGCTAAAAGATGAACAATGGAAAAATGCTCGATCCATCGTTTCACCAGTGTTCTCTACAACAAAACTCAAAGCAGTAAGTGTCTCAGTGTGACAGTATTTATTTTTGCTAATCGTTTTCTTCAGATGTACGGTCTGATAAATGAAATTAGTGACATGTATAACAAACGTCTTCTTGAATATGCTGATAAACAAGAAATATTCGATGTCAAAATGTATATGTCTATTTTTTGCTTAATGTGATTATTTTTAGTGTAGTTGTGTTATAATCATAGACTGAATGGTCAATATACTCTTGATAATATTGCTTCTTGTCTATTTGGTATTGAAACAAATTCGTTGCAGAATGAAAATATCACTTTAGTCAATCATTTAAAAAAATTTTTTTCATTCAGTGCGGCCAATCTATTTTTATTAGTCTTTTGTGAGTATATTGTAGAGGAAGAAATATTATATAGATTATTATTTTTTGATTGGAAATAGTTTTTTCACATCGATTAGCTCGTCATTTGAGTGAGAAAGGTTATTCAATGGTACCCAGAGATACTATGAACTATTTCACACAATTATTTAATCAAATATTAGCACGACGTCGACAATATTTAGAAAGACGAAATGATTTTATTCAAATGATGATTGATCATGAAGAAGAAGTCAAACATGAAGAACAAGTCGAGAAGCAAGAACGACAATCCGAAATAGTTAAAAAGAGTAAAAAAATCAATTACTTTATTATAGATAAACTCATAACACGGTTTTAGCTTTGAATGATAAAGAAATACTTGGTCAAGCTCTAGTTTTCTTGGTTGCTGGTTATGAAACAACAAGTGTATTAATATCATTCTTTTTCTATGTCATGGCAACAGAACCAGTGATTCAAGAAAAAGTTTATAATGAAATTCGTCAAGAACTTGGAGATGTACGTGATATTCGTGCTAGAGAAGAGTAATATCTCATTGTTATATCTAGGATGAAGTTATTTATGAAAAACTTAGTCAACTTCAATATTTGGATATGGTTATTAATGAAACACTTCGAATGTATCCACCGTTTACTAGGTAATTTTCTATGGTCTTTATTCTCCTTCGATAAATGTGTTTTTATTTGATAGATTTGAGCGAGTCGCCTCGAACAATTATCAACTTGGTAATTATGACATACCGAAAGGTACTATTATAAGCGTACCCGTTTATCCCATCCATCATGATCCTAATGTTTGGCCTGAACCGGAAAAATTCAAACCTGAAAGGTACATCTCATGTCATAATCATAGGTATTCTTAATGAGAATATTGGTAATATTATTAGATTCTTACCGACAGAAAAAGCTAAACGACATCCAATGACATATCTTCCATTTGGTGATGGACCACGGTATGGAATTCATACTTGTTTATATCAACAGATCATGCAACTATTTGTGATTATAGAAATTGTATTGGCATGCGATTTGCACTGTTAGAAGCTAAACTTGCAATTGTCAAAGCATTACGTCTAGTTGAAATCCAGAAATGTGACAAGACTGAAGTACGTAATGATCATTTTACCATTGACTATGTAATTATTAGTTGAGTTCTAGATTCCAGTTCAATTGGGTCAATTAACAGTTTTATCTAGTAAAAATCCTATTTGCTTACGTGTCGTACGTCGATCCCAGTGAAATGAACGTATTGATCGTTTTTAAAACTTACATGTTTCAATACCACTTTGCTTATTTAAATCAAATTGCACTTTCTTTAGATATGTTAGATTTTTTTATTTTGTACCCTAGAAAAGATTAATTTGATAATGAAATGAAATGAGCCCATTAAGTTATGAACAGAATTAGATATTTGACACGTGTTGATCAATAATTCTGAAATACAAATTATTTTTAGTTTCTTTACAAAGAAAAATATCAATAATTGCTTGATGCTATTGTATTTCTAAACATCTAATGTTCGCTATTGATAATGATTGTCTTGTATAACGTAAACTACCGAATCAATTATGCAAAAGATATTACAGTACTTAGTAGAAAGGGAAATTCCTCATTGTTATTCTATGAAAGTTTAAAGACCACAAATATTGTACTCGCATTATCTTGGGTATGGGTGTTGGTAGGTGTGGATTTGTGAGTGTGCGATGTGGGGTGGAGTATGGGTGGGAGTGGGGTGTGGCTGTGACTGGGTGTGAATGTGGGCGTATTGATGAAGAGAAGATGAATAGTCACACTCACCTCCTCTTGTATATAACCTAATACTGGCGAGAGGCACACTATTAATATTATGTAATTAACTCGTATGATCGGTTTTAGAAAGGTCATTAAAAATCAGTAATACTCAATATTTTTCATTTAGTCAGAGACCATGACGTAAATGAATTACAAAATAATTCAAAAACACTGAATTACAAAATAATTCACTTTCTATTAGTTTCTAACAGGGTCTACCAGGGTCTATCAGGGTTTCGCGGCACCCACAACGAGAGAGATGTGATGTATGTTGTTTCGCAGCACCCACATCGAGACTCTAGTAGACCCTGGTAGACCCTGGTAGACCCTGGTAGACCCTGGTAGACCCTGGCAGACCCTGGCAGACCCTGGCAGACCCTGGTAGAAACTAATAGAAAGTGAATTATTTTGTAACTCAGTGTTTTTGAATTATTTTGTAATTCATTTACGTCATGGTCTCACACCCACACCCTCACCCACAACCACCCACACCCACACCCACGCCCACACCTCACACCCACGCCCACACCTCACACCCACACCGACACCCCACCCTCTATTAAGTCATTTATCAGATAACCAATTGACTTGATTGACTTTCCTATTATACGTATATGTTGCAGGCGAGTTTGGAATTTAGTTCAGATTGAAATAGCTTTGTCAAGTGTGAAAAAAAGTTTTCATAATTTGAATTGGAAATAATGCAGTTAGAATTAATTTTTTTGAATAGTTCTAAGTTTTTTTTTGCATTTTCTTTCACATAAGTATAAACAATTGATAATGAAGTTTAGATTTCCTGATTGTTCTATTTACTTCTTTTGTAATTTTCTTGCTAGCTTTTGTCTCCCATATTTGTTTTTTTGTGTACTCAAAAAGTGAGTACACTCTAGAATCGGTCAGTATGTCCGGCCTGCCGGCCGTTTACACGATAACTTTCGAAAGGAGAGTCCGATCATGATGAAATTTTCTGTACAGTTCAGTCTTTACAATATTTCGGTCGAGTTCGAAGATGAGAAGGATGGACCGAGCCGTTCCTGAGTTATTGCAAAAATACCCATTTTTCCCTATAGCTTCCTATGGAAAAATCGACCCATCGCCGCGTTCGTAAAAGACTTTTCCTATCATAGTCAATTAAAACCCCAACTGTTATATACCATTCGATAGAGAATTTCAAGAGCTACAGAATGATATATAAAACATGAGGAAACAGGAAGATTATCTCACCCATCGCAAAGATAAATAGGGAAGAGTCGGTTCTGTTTTTCTGCACGCTCTAATTGATCACCAATTAGAGCTCTATCTTTCGACCATAGAGATGATAATCGAAGGCTTTCTGGGGCGGAGAACTAGAATCTGCACTAAACTTGGTTCGAAGCCCCATTGGTTGAGTATTGACCAATAGAAATCATGTTTTAGGAAAAACAACTTTGTGAGGCTAAATAAAGCCGAACAGGTGAAATTTGAGCTGTATACGCTCCTAAGTCCTACGGTTGAACAGTAGGCAATGGAATTCAAGAGTTTATAGAAAAGGTTTGCCACGCAAATTTTTATATCCAGTCATTCTAGGATGACCGATTTGTCTCATTCACTTTTTGAAGTACACATAACTCTCGGATATAAATCCGAGATTTCCAGATTTATTTATATCTCAAAATAATTGGGGCACCGAAACATTAAATTATTTTATTTCATTTTCTTACTGTATTTTTTCTTCAATATTTTTTTTTCTTCAATATTTGCAAGTGACTAGGACATCGGGACATCAAATATCACTAAAATTATTCTCGAAAAATTTTTCCTCTATTTTATTTTCTTTAATTTATATTTTATTTTTCTATTTGTTTTTTTTCAATGATTTGGACATCGGGACGCTAAATTATTATCTTATTTCATTTTCTTACTATAATTTTTCTTGAATATTTGTTTTTCCTCAATATCTTGAAGTGGCTGGGACATAGGGACATCAAATATCACTAAAATTAATCTCGAAAAGTTTTTCTCTATTTTATTTTCTTTAATTCATATTTTCTCTTTCTCTTTCTTGTTCTTAATGATGGGGACACCGGGACGTTAAATTGTTTTTTATTTTATTTTCTTACTATATTTTTTCTTTAATATCTTGAAG